AATGACCAATCTGTAGAATTTCATGCCCCTCAACCTTTGTTAGCTGTGGGGTAAAAGCAAAGAGTCTCATTTAAAAATAAGTTTAAAAACAAGTAAAAGGCCCGTACCYTTCCATCTTATCCTTTAAACATCTTTAGTCTACATTGTTTTTCCTTACACTGTTTGAATTGTCGTATACAGCTGTCTATTCCAGCTGATTTTATTCAGTCACTGCCAAAAATGTGTTGCTGGATATTTGATTCCCCCAAGTCCCCTCCCTCTTGAAAATAAGATAAGTCAATTTTTTTATATTAACTTAATTTTTATTTGTARTAGGGCATTAATTGAGTAGAGAAAAATAAACTAATGTAGCTAAGAAAGCTTAGTTTGTTACCATAGATGTATATGTACCTGAAAAAGCTCATTTCTTGGGAATTGTRAACATTACAACCTCAGTGTTCATAAAATTAGCTGGAGTATGTTTCTACAGAATATATTGTTTAACCTAGTATTTTAACYATTTGTAAATGTACGTATATATTAATCAACTCTTTAAATGATTAATTAATTGATTATACAAGTCTCTTTTCATAAGTTAACAGCATTAGGATACTAGGAAAGTTCAATTAGGTGTTTTAGTATTGCTGGATTCAAACATGCCTTTTTTTTTAAGAGTGTTTTCTGGCTTTTAGGTACTTGAGCCCCACAAATGTCTTGGGAGAGATCATTTCAGCATCTTACTGTCCTAAATATGCATCTTTATGACCATGGCAAGTTAGGCAGCTAATTAGGTGGATGTCCAAGCCCCAGCCCTTGGGTCTGGGTCCTAGCACACACTGTATTCCAGGCCATTAGTCTGAGGAGTAAAGTACAGTTTCTGGGCCATATTTCTTGATATGCAAAAGCTGGCCTTCATTATATTATATTTTTTGTTACATTATGTAACTATGAAATAATATCAAATACTTTGAATTTATTACTATTCTTTCATCTAACAGTTTGCTTTTGGATRCTACATATAGATTTATTTGATGGTATTATACATTAAGATAGCAGCTGTTTTCCCTGTTATATCTTAATTGCACTGCAGTTTACATTGTCCTTACATATACCAAATAATCCTAATCTTTACTTCTGTGGTCTTGTAAAGCTTGTAGTACTTATTAACTATAAGGCTTGATTTGACCAATATGTGTACAAGTTTTAAAAGTACTATTTCTTACCTAGCATCTTTTGTTTGTAAACAAATTCTGATTTTAAAGCATTGTTCATAACTTCTAGAGCGCTAATGAATTTTTAGGAGTTTTGCTGAACTTGTATACAGTTGATTGGTTTCTTTATTTTTTTTTGAACACTAAGACAGAAATTATTGTCTTTTGTCAAGAGCTCTTGGAGCATGGTTTTCAACCTTTTCGTTCAGCAGAGAAACTTTTTCTCATTTAGAAATACCCAAACTTCTGTTTAGCCGGAGCAAGGGTGTTTCGTAAAATGCTTTGTTTTCTTGCCACAAAAACTCTAGGAAGCCCTGTTACGAAAGAAATGCTGTCAAGTGGCTTTCCTCCTGCCTTTATCACTGATGTTCAATAACCATTCAAAACTTACAGGGTCAGGTAAGAGCTTTCTTCATAGAGCAGTGACATTATTTCTGGTTAGCCTCC